AAAGTAAGGGGAAAACACAAAGACCTAAGCGAGGATTTGGTCAAGAGGCTTGGCAGTAGCATCCTTGTGGTTATGTTCTTCTTTGGCTAGCTTCTTGAGACGAGCCAGCTCGAGATCTCTCCCCATCTTTCTCTTATACATCTCTGCAAAAGTTATTGGCTCCTCCAAGATCGGTTTCTCTCCTTCTCTCACTTTAAGCGGATACACCGTAGCCTCCGGTGCCGGATTCTGAAACGTAGCTATGGATAATCTGCTCGAGTTCGAGTTCACCACCGCCTGATGATCCGCGTTCTTGAACCTCCCGTTACTCAAATACTTCAACAACACACATTCAAGTTAATTAATAAAAAGTTGTCACTACAAATTAATGGCCAAATAAGTATATTACTGAGAGAGAGTACTGACATGGCCGTGGTCACCAAGATTGACGACAAAAGCTCCTTCCACAGGCTGGACAGTGATCCATGTCTTACCATTGTCCCTTGTAGCTTGTAAACCACCGACTTGGTCTTGTAGCAGCAAAGTGATGGTTCCAGGATCAGTGTGACGTTTGAGTCCAAGAGTTAGATCAGGCTGAGGGCATTTTGGGTAATAATTAACAACGATTTTCTGGTCCATATCGACACAAGCATTGGTAAGTGCTTCTTTCTCAAGTCCCATAGCTTCAGACAAAACCTCAAGAAGCTTACAAGCCAAACCCATTAGCTTGTCACTATACTCCTCCGTCACTTTCACCCATCCTTCCGGCTTATCTGGCCACCGTGAGTAGTCTCTGTTTCTTACAGGGTACGAGAAATACGTTACGATCTCTCTCCAATCTTGCACGGCCTCTCCCTGCATTTATAATGAGCATTTCGTATATAACTATAAGATCGACCACACAATTCATAAAAAAAAAAAGAGTTCTTGTTGAATATTGTTAGGATCTCTATCAAATACACGTCTTGCTCTCCAAGTTATCTCTAATAATTTCGCATGGGAAGTTAAGGGTTAATTCTTGTGTTACCTGGAGGTGACTAGAGACGATGAATCCTCCTTTCTTACCACCGGACATGTCGAAACGGAGTTTGTCCTCGGGAGGTAAAGCAAAGAAGTCACGAGCGAGACGAGTCATATCAGCCACCAAATCGGTGTCGACGCCGTGATCAACCACCTGGAAAATGCCCCAATTCTCACAAGCCTCGACGATCTGACGACAGATCTCTTCTCTTTTACCATCAACATCGTCGATTCCGGTGAGAGATATTACCGGAATTTCGGTGCTAAACTCGTTGTAGGCGACTTTGGGGCGTTCGTCCTCGTCCCGGACGAATTTAAAGTTGAGCTTAGATTCTCCGGCGAGCTCAGTCAGAGTTCCTGGAGCCATTGTATATTATGATCAAAGAAACAAGAGCGTTAATTACAAAGGCAAAAATAGTAACTTAAGAGAGAAGGAGAAGATGTGATGAAAATATATAAGGAGAGAGAGTGGTAGCTGAAACCTTTCAAAGCTTGTGATGACTGACGAATGAAGAGGTCCTTCGCTACCTACCACGGTATTACTACTCTCTCTTCTTCTTTCTAGAAGAATTACTCAACTAACTACGTGCATCTGTATTTTTATTTCTTTTTAAGACAAAAAAAAAATCATTTACTATTTAATTGGAAAAATTTGCCAAAAATACAAAAAAAAAAACTATAATTTGTAAACTAGCAAAAAAATCCTAAATTCAAAGGTCCACAATTTGCCACATACACTCTTTTCCCAACTTTTTAATTTTTTTTTTGGTTATTTATTGAAAAGATTCTATTTAATTTCTTGGGTTTTTTTTGGTGAATAACCAAAAAAATAATAATAATTAAAAAGTTAGAAAAAATGAGATATGTGGCAAATTGTAGACCATTAGATTTGGAGTTTTAGATTACTTTTTAAATTATAATTTTTTTTGTTATATTTTTGGCAAATTCCCTCTAATTTTTTAGGTTTTTTTGTTTGCTACATCCTAACGTATTAAATTAGTATAATGGACAAGTTTCAAAAAAAAAAAAATTATAATGGACGTTTAGTTTACTGTTTCACACGATGGTTAATATGGATAATGGACTGTACGTAATTAACGGTGAAAGGAAAGCCACGTTTCGAATAGAGTTGCGGTCGGTGGATAAGCCACGTGGTGGAGACTTGTTCTGGTACGGACTTGCGTTACATAAGAGCATCTGCATTAGAGACATTTTGTATGTATCTTTAAATATAAAATTATTAAAAGTTGAATAAAAGAAAGAAAAAGAGTGTTTTTGGTTGAAATAATGAGGTGTATTAAAATATAAAATTAATAAAATTTGAGTAAAGATATGAAATAGTGGGTATTATTGGAGAGATGATGTCTTGAGGAAGACAAATTTGGAGAGAGAATGGATGAAAGTTGGAGTGTGTTTAAATATAAAATTAATAAAAGTTGAATAAAAAAATAAAAGAGAAGGTATAAAGTTGAGTAAAAGGAAGAGAGAGTGTGTTTTTAATATTTTTTTATTTAAAAACATCCATATTTTGTCTCCAATGTGGATGGTGTAATGATCCCATTGAGGAGAGAAAAAACCTCTTTACTTTGGTCACAATATATTCCTTAAGTAGACAAATTCGTCTAAATTGAAAACAAAAATAAATTCGACTCATACATGAATTATTAAGGGTTATAATTAAGTTCTAATCAAAAAGCGGCATATGTGGCTAAATTTGTAGCCATTAGATCTAATGGAACTGGTTAGATGGCTAATTATAATTTTTGTTTTTGTTATTATTCAACATAATTTCCCAATTATTAATCATATAATTTAAAATGCATATAGTATATTAGTGATTGACTAATTAATAAGTTGACTTATTGATTTTCACATTTTGTTAACAACTAAGCAAGAACTTGATAAACGGGCCGGACTATCAATTATAACTTTCGTAGTTCGTCAAAGGCCCATACAGAACAGGGACCCAACGGCTAGTTTTGCTATGTTTCTTTCTTCTTCCGATTCCTTCCACTTCATAAGAGAGGAGCCACAACGGCTACTTTATCTGGTAAACTTTCTAACGGCAACTTTTGTTTTATTCCCAATCCCTATATAATACTGCGACCTTTACCATTCTTTCTTGATAATCTCAGATAATTGAAAATTTCAGATTGATTTCTTATAAACTCTTTCAATTCAGCTTTCGTGTTGTTTCGTCTTAGAGATTGAAATTCAAATGGAGACTCCATCATCAACAAGAAGAATCACTAGATCTCAGGCTTTCTCTACCATCAACATCTCTGATTCTAATGACTCCAAATTCCCCTTTTCATCAAGTATGTTTACCCTTCTTTTAATTTCTTTCTTTTGTGTATGTTCTTTTTAAGAATTGATAACTTCTCTGAATCTGACCGCTTTCCTTTATTGTTGTGTCTCAGACAAAACAGAGGATTCATGCATCTGTCAAAGAAAGAACAACAAAGCACAAGAAGATAGATCTGCACTGATCGACATAACCAACGACTCACCGATCGTTGGTCTAGCGATGCAGACGCCTCCTTCAGGGTTCATGAGTAAGAGAAAAAACAGCCGAATCAAGAACACGCCACCTGGTTCTGGTGAAGCTCTTTTGAGAGGACAAGTCAAAACCCTTTTGCACAAAGTTGAAGAAGAAGGAACAGAGCTTACCCTTCCAATAAAGTCTCTACCTTTCATCAACCTAATCACTTCCCCAGTGAGACTCCTCGCTCCAACTCCAGCAAATACTCCTCAATTTCCAAACTTTTCAGAGGATCAAGTTCACATCAAGATCGCATCTCCGGTTGTTGCTGGACACTTGAGAACATCTCAAGTAAGCTATTTTACTGGGAGTTTGAAGGCGAGTGAGATATTTGAAGTGAAGGAAGAAAAGAGTATTAGCATTACTCGTTCTTTGCTTCTCGATTTCACCGATAAGTCAGAATCATTG